CAAGAACTGAAAAAGGTCTAATGTTGAAATTTTTTAAGGTAAAATTTCACATTGCTTCAAATTGACCAAACTTTTTTTTAAAATCATCTACAAGATGCCTGGAGTTCATATATGACCTTGTTTTTAAGATTTGACCTTTGACTGACCTTTAAATGTTCAAAAAAGGCTACGGGGCCTCCGTAAGATTGCTTGCAATCTTATACATCTAGTTATTATTATTTATTCTTCTCTGCACTTTTTCTCCTACTTCTAACTAGATTTCAACTATCTACTATATGTACCTACTAGGGACCTAGGTTGAACTTACCGGGAAAGGAATTTTTATCTAGGTCAAGGTCAAAGGTCAAAATCTAGGTCAAATCAAAGTTTTTTCTAAGTTTCTCAGATTTCGTCCTCATACTTCATTATTTCTTGCGATGAATTAAAATGTAACTAGATATAAGCATTCCCTACAAATTACTCACTATATGCTCGCGTTAATTTTTTACCGTTTTTGAGATAATTGACGTCAAAAAACGGTAAAAATTGGTCATTTTTCAACTTGCTTCAAATTGACCAAATTTTTTTTTAAAATCATCTACAAGTTCTCAGGAACTCAAATCTGACCTTAGTTTTGACCTTTGACCTTTGGTTGACCTTCAGTGACCTTTGAAAGGTAAAAAAAGTTGATTTTTCAAATTGATTTTCTGGATTCAAATTTAGGTACATTTGATCACAAAAGACCCACTGAGGTCTAAAAAAGTAAAATTTGCAAGGTCAAAGGTCAAGGTCATCAAACTAAATCACAAACTGTGTTTTCTAAGTTTCTAAGTTTTGGAGACTACAAATCAATATTTTTTCATGAAAGTCAGGATATATATTCCTCTATAGGTTCTACACGTATTAGTAATTGACTATTTATTAAAATTGTGTACCAGTTTTGAGATATCAGAACTCAAAAACTGAAAAAAGGTCACATTTCGAAACTTTTCAAGACTAAATTTCAACTTGCTTCAAATTGACCAAATGTTTTTTTAAAACTCATCTACAAGTTCTCAGGATTCCAAATCTGACCTTACTTTTGACCTTTGACCTTTGGTTGACCTTCAGTGACCTCCGAAAGGTCAAAAAAGTTGATTTTTCAACTCGATTTTCTGGATTCAAATTTAGGTATATTTATTCACAAAAGACCCACTGAGGTCTAAAAAAGTAAAATTTGCAAGGTCAAAGGTCAAGGTCATCAAACGAAATCACAAACCGTGTTTTCTAAGTTTCTCAAAATTGGAGACTACAAATCAATTTTTTTACTGAAAGTCAGAATATATATTCCTCTAAAGGTTCTACACATATTAGCACTTGACTATTTATTAAAATTTTGCTCCAGTTTTGAGATATTAGAACTGAAAAACTGAAAAAAGGTCAAATTTCGAAATTTTTCAAGGTCAAATTTCAACTTGCTCTAAATTGACCAATTTTTTTTTTAAAAGCATCTACAAGATCTCAGGAACTCAAATCTGACCTTAGTTTTGACCTATGAGCTTTAGTTGACCTTCAGTGACCTTCGAAAGGTCAAAAAAGTTGATTTTTCAAATTGATTTTCTGGATTCAAATTTAGGTTTATTCAATCAGAAAAGATATACTGAGGTCTAAAAAAGTTAAATTTTCAAGGTCAAAGGTCAAGGTCATCAAATAAGATCACAAACTGTGTTTTCTAATTTTCTCAAAGTTTGTGACTACAAATCAATATTTTTGAACTAAAGTCAGGATTTATATTCCTCTAAAGGTTTTACACATATTAACAATTGATTAGCTATTAAAATTCTGCACCAGTTTTGAGATATTGGACCTCAAAAACTGAAAAAGGTCTAATGTTGAAATTTTTCAAGGTCAAATTTCACATTGCTTCAAATTGACCAAACTTTTTTTTAAAATCATCTACAAGATGCCTGGAGTTCATATATGACATTGTTTTTAAGATTTGACCTTTGGCTGACCTTTAAATGTTCAAAAAAGCCTACGGGGCCTCCGTAAGATTGCTTGCAATCTTATACATCTAGTTATTATGGAGAATACATTACCCTTTTCTCTCAACTCTTTTTAAGAAATGTTTCTATACTCTCTCAATGAGAGTTTTTAAATCGCATGATCTAACCATACCCAATCAAAATAGGTTGGCTAAAATATAACCACCCAATCATAAGTTGCTGAAATTCAAACCCCTATAAATAATAAAGGCCACAACTCCTTTAGGAATCATTAAGATCTGAAGATTAAAAGTGAAATTGTTTATCATATCAGAGGGTACTAATTGCAAATTTAGCCTCTGGGTCTCAGGATAGTACTTCATTTTTATATAAAGAAGGGCACAATTGATATAATTTCCCATGTATATAATACACAACTGTCATATTCTTAATGCTATTTAATGTGGAAAAGAGAGGTATAATCAAGGAATTAGTAAACAGTGATCTTCTCCCACCAAATGATATGATGGAACTATACCAAAATGTAGAACGTAAATTTTTCAGAGGAAACTGAACTTACCAAGATGGAGTGGGGATTTTAAGACTGAGTTCAAATTCATTGTCATCATTCTGAATACTACTTTGTATTGCAAACAATGGACTTCTCCTGCATCATTAATGAGTAACGATTATAAAATCAAAACAGGAAACATTTCTATGGAGCATGTAGCAATGTTAAATTGATTAGCTCCGAACCAGGTATAGCAAAAATATGACTCATAAATTTTAATTTCTTGCAATGTTAATTCCAGGATAATTTAACAGATGTATACTCATAAATAAAATTAAAGTCCAATAAGAAAATGGAAAACCAAGGCATGGCTAGCCTGGAAAGTGTCTTAGTCTTCAATTCTCACTCATTGTCCACTTTAAGGAAAGACCAGTCTAAGCATTTTTGAAGCAACAAGAATAGGTACATCAATTATTTGAAAATAATAATATGAGTCATTTTATACTAAGTGTAATGTGATGGTTTCACTGTAGCTTTTCAATATACTGACCCCTCCTTTGACCTGTTTGAAGAGGATTTGAGAATAAAATATACTATTTACCATATTCAAAATGTTTGTTTTCAGATTATGTTAAGTGATCTCATCGGTTTATCTGGTTTATTTAAATCACTTGACACAAAAATGTAGCTCATACACCCATGTTTGTTAGTCATCAAAATTTGGACATGTACAGCAACACCTCTTCAAAGCAAACACCTATATCTGCCGCCTCCTCTCAAAACTGAAATCCTTATGCTTACAGGTGACATCATATTTGATTTCCTTTCACTGACCTTATTTCAGTTTTGAAAATTCTGTGATTTGATTGGTTCCCACACTGACTGGTATTTTTAGGATACCCTACCCCGACAAAGGAATAGAATGCATTCGGAGCATGATTTTTTCACTAAAACCCAAGATTTTTACTGTATTTCAAAAAAATATTAGAAATTGATTGTAATTCTGATGGCGAAGAAAATTTTACACAAGGAGAATCAAGGCTACGTCTACTGTACAATCAAGTTTTATATTGGTCTGTGTAGGAGACGGCAGTATGCTATGTGAAACTAGTATATACACTTGTGTCAAGTGTAGGCAAATCACTTTTTTTCCCTCTGTTCCCTGAAGTAAGCCATTAATCAAACCCGATTGTTAACAAATAACATAAACATTTCGAACCCAGCTAAGTAAATGTGTACAGGAAACTCTGACAAAAAGAAGGAAACTTAAACTTGAAAGGAGAAATTGTATTCCATATTATGTTTGCTTTAATATCGATAATAATGTGCTTTCAGCTTTGGTAAAATAAAGATTTTCTTTTACTGAATGGCCATAACAGAATCAGGCAAATAAATATAACATGTGTACTTTTAAACTTTAATTCATAAAAACTTCTATAAAAGTTAATAAAAACATTTTCTATAAGAAAAAAAACTGGGTCAGCCATTCAAATATTGGATTGTAAACAGTTTTTATTGCCAATAGTATTTACACCTCACATGGGTTGCCATAACATTTTCAAATCAAAAGTCCATAACATTTCAAAATTCACTGACCATTTTTAAAAGAATCCTGAAATTGCATGACTTATCCAAAGGTAGAGTCTTGTTGTGAAAGGTTCTCACAAACAGTTATATTGTCAGATTTTGTATTTTGCATGTAAAAAGAATATACAATATATGCTGGGAATTTTGAATGCAAAATTAAAATGAAATCAAGTTGAAAGGTTTTGTAATGCATCTCATGTTAAACCAATGTATTTCTGGTCATATGACATACCTAAATTATATATTATAAAGATTTGAAAAAGATATAATGGAATAACGACAGACATGTATGTTCAACTTGTCAATTCATCTTATTTTCTTTAATGTTATGATAACCAATTTTAAGTACTTGGCCTTGGCTTGTAATCTTAAAAGTACTCATTCATGAGGGGATCTTTAGGTTGTAATGACCAGGCCGGGTAATGTGATCTGTTATATCATTCAGTGATTCACTCAAATTAAACAGTAGTAGGCTGTAGTATAATGTGGAATGCACAGTGATATACTGTATTTTTAGTCTTTTAATCTAGTCTAGCTACAAGCCTTTGTGACCCCCCCCCCCATACTCATGATCATCCAAACAACACCCCTGTCTGAGAAGGTGTGTAGTCAAGTAGTAGGGGGGGGGGGTCACAGGGGCTTGTAGTTAGACTATATTTAGTCCAATGTAAAACTCGCCTATGTATAAAAATGGGCATTCTGATTTTGTGAATTACATGGATGCCTTATGGGCATTATGTTGCCCTTTGCCAATCAATATTTATCTGATAATGGACATTTACCAAGAATTGAGATGTCATGGTTTATCATAATGAATAATAGTTCTATACATTAACCCTAGATTATACTTTTTTGTAGTTTTACTGATTTGTATATGTTTTGTGGTTTTTGTCGTGTGTTTAATTTAAATAGATAATTTAACTTTAAAAGATGATGTTGTTGACCACTTTAGGCCATTAAAAGCTGATAAAGTTAAAATTGTAAACTGGGGAGTTTGTACCCAGCTAAGAAAAACATTCCTAGAGATTGAGAGAGAACGCTATCAGTTCCAGGCTTGCTGACATGTACATATACATTTATAAGAATGGGAGAAAAATTTCAAATGAAATCAAAGGACCAAAATAAGTAACTTCCAGACTTTTTTTGTATGACTAGATTGTAGGTAAACTTTTATCCCCAATTGAAAGAGTATCAATGAAGTATTCTGGTATAGTTTAAGGGTAAACAATTGAAGCATTTAGAGATAACCTATCACTGTATTTCCTACTGTGTCTCTTGTTCACTGTTGCCAATACACTGTTGTGTTCAACTCTAAGTACAAAACAGTTAACTGTACTATGGTATATCAAATACATACAGGTTACTGCTAAGTAATGAGATGTCAACAAACCTAATAGCTGGCCAAGCCTTGACCTCGGATGAACATATTCAAAAGACATTATGTAATATAAATTTATATCTAAATGTATATTTCTGGTATTTTATATCCATATTTTAAACATGGATAAACAGTACTTAGCATGTACTGTAAGAAACAAAATAAAACTGTACTGAATACAAAAATAAAGCGTTTGAAACAACATCTTTGGCAATAACAAAAGGGTTTTCTTTAAGCTTCAGAGAGCTAGAGAATTTTCAACTGAAATCTCCATTGAATTTTTTGCAAGCTCTGTAGTATTTTTTGCAGTTTTTACTTTATACTGCTACAGGTTTTTGCCTTCAAACGTTTAGCCTCACACAATTCCTCAGTTAAAAAAAGTTTTTTGATTGATTCATTTATTCCAGTTTTTACTGGTTCTTTCAATCTATGGAAGGGCTAAATAAACATTATTGCTAAAAATAGCAGTAATCAATACATCAATGTTTAATATTGTTTATACACATTCTAACCTTGTCAGCTAGCCCTCTTCTTAAATATTCCAAGAAATCTATCATCAGATTCTTACTTGGTCCAACTCAAATTTGTGTTGAAAATTAAAATAAACCGTTAAAATCTGTGGTATGTCCACATACCAACTAACATCTGACCTTTTTTTATCATTTTTTCGATCAGTGATACATTATTTTACATGTTGGCCTACAAGTATGAAAACATCTATCCTACTTTGGAAAAATAAAAGTTTAGCAATTAGAAGTAGATCTTGTTTTGTCCAAAAAATAAACTAAATGAAAATATCAGTATTTACATTGATATTCCAATTTTGCACCTAAAACTCTACTAATGAACATGTATAATAAAATATATGGGTTTTATAATATGTACATATGCCTACTATATCACCTATATAAATGCGTAGAACATACTAGATACAATATCATATTTAATAAATGTTTATCTAAACATATGATATAATTGCCTACTCCATAAGTAACCCCATATACACCATTAAATACACCATTCCAAAACACCATATGAATGATTTATAAATTTTAGACCAATTTTAGTGGTACATTCACTCTCATTTTGAAAGGTGTATTTCAATAGGTCTTTTGCACGTGTTGATAACAACGTTGAATATTATTTATAAAAGTTCTGCTTTTAAAGCAAGACATCAAAATTCCCTGCAATAGAACAACAACCTGTTTTACTCACATGACTATATGTAGAAATACTTTTGTATGGTATCCATGGCAACCACCACCTTCAGCTGGTATATATCCTTCCATTACCATAGTTACCAATTAGTCCTGGATAAACCATGTCAAAAATCATTTACAATACTGGAGTATATTACACAGATGGTTTTGATAGTTGCAGTTCAGTACTACATGTAACTTAGGGTGTTTAATCCATTGTTCGAAAATGGGAATCCGCAAAATTATTCTTACTATGACAATGTTTATCATTGTTAAAGCTGGGGTTTATCCAATTCTTGTATCTTTATATATGTCCAGTATCAATCATGAAAAAGTTAGCTGAGGACTTTGTCACACTTCATCACCGGGCTAGGGCTCGATAAACAGAATGCCTGGGAGGGGGCTTGATATACAGAATGGGATATTTCCTAGTTTCAAGTCAATTATTTCCATATAGGCCTACGGTTGATGTAAAAACAGTCTCTTAAAGGTTTCACGAAATGATGTCCATTTGTTCTACAAAAAGGGCATCGTATATTCTGGCTAAACTGGCTATAATAGGTGTATCCACAGTAGGCGGGGTCGATGACACGTCTGTTGCAATTGTTACACGTCAGGCGCTTGTGGCAGCATGGCATGGCAGCGAAGATATCATACGAGTACATTGTGCCGAGCAACAAGGTGCTGCCATCCCATGGTTTACGGCACGCTGTGCACTTTAATGAGCACTCTCCCTCCAAACAGAACATGCAAATGGCATTCAGGAACTGCTTGCGTCCTTCAACTAATAACTCAATCTTAGAGTTGTATGATATCGGGGACAGGAAGAAGGTTCCATCTATCAAAGGGTATCGGTCATATACAACAAGGTCACGGCTACACAGTCCACATTTGACCTCAGTCTGCTTAAACGTGCTTAGGTTGGAGAGAATGAAACAACGTGTTTCATCATTGCCATGGGGACCTTCATCTTCCATCTTTATATGGTATGGGTTTCGTTTTGTTGCAGCCAAAAACGAAAACGCTGACATATCGCTACGACGTTTGAAGATGTTTCCGGAGGCTGCTTGAGCTGCGTCGGTGAAGAAATCAAATGACCCCTTTTTCAGGAAGCTGTTAGGGGTTGTTGGAGGGGAGGAGGAGTCAGCCGAGTTAGGAGGGCTAGACCCAGCACTCCCAAGGCTATCAGTGCGCAATCTAAGCTGTGGGTGGTAATCGCTACTCAAACTATCGGTACGTAGTCGCAACTGTGGGCGGTGGTCACGATGACCTGAATTGGACACAGGCTGGGGTTGGGCCTTCTGGGGTGCCATTCCAACAGGTTTTGTGCTCTCACCTGAAGGATGCTTCTTCTTCGACGTTTTCTTCTTTGGTTTAGGTGGGGGGATATAATCCAGATCTTTACGAAGGTGGCCTTTTGCACATTTACAATCACAAGCCTTGAAGGCGAGATCATAGCCTTTCTTAGTCCAAAGGTTTTGCATTCGCTGCTTTTCACTCCAGCTTCGAGCACGGCCACAAGATCGAAGATATGCCAAAACAGTTTCCTCCCATGTCGCAAAACATCCTGCGTGCATCCAGTTTCCGTTAGGGCATTGATCGTTATTGCACGCAACTTTAACAGCATCCCCAGGGTCATGTGTATCAATCTTATTCATTTCTTCTGTACATCCAGTGGGTATGCAACAAACAGCAAAATCGGGGTCAACATTTTCCTGTGCAATGGCTTGGTGCTCTTGCACTTGCTTGTTATTGTCTCCAGCTGTTGCATTATTTTTATGTCCTTTTCCTTTGTGATTCTTATGTTGTGGCATTGTAAATGTCTTCAAATACACTACTGCCCGTTCCTTGGAATGTATTTCAAATGTTCCTATCAGTTTGAGAAGGCATCTACCGGTGTCGAGGAGACGATTTAAAAATACATCCGGCAATCTGCTTGCTTTTAGTTATCTGCCGAGTTTATGGCGGCCAGCCAAACCAATGTTGTTGTTTTCATCTAGAAAAGAGGCGTGGTTGACCTACTGGTATACTTTTATCTGATTGGTCGAACAATGTAAATATAAACACTAGCACGTGGTTTAGATTTATCCTGATTGGTGTACATACTAAGGTAGACTCATTAATTTCATCAACATTTGAATATCAATATTGGATATACTCGTATTCCATTGGAGGAAAAGGGGGTCAGGAGTCACCATGACTTAGGGCATCTACAGATTTGAACCGGTGTAAAAGGGTAGGAGGTCCTATCAAATTATGGTCCTACTCTCCATTGACTCATGGTGACCTAAATACAACTCTTTCCCTCATTTTCTTATACGCAATCAGGGCCAGTAAGGGCCGTAAGAAAGGGGACCATAATCCCTGGGGGACCATCATTTCTTTCACACCGGGATTTGAACTGTAAATTGTTGGCACCATGGACAAGAAACTACTATTTACTTCCATTCAAATCGACCTACACTCCCGGCCTACACTTCCAGTCTAAGCCGGGTGGTCCCAGCGGGTCACTTAAATTCCCCCTCGAACAGTATGTCCACTGCCCAGCAGTATTTATATATCATATATTTGAAATGGATTGGGAAACACTGCTATAGAATCATGGGTATGCCAAACTGTTTGGGATCGTTGCAAGCGACATCTTTTCAAGTTATATGCACAAATAACCATGCAATTATAAAATTCCGGACCAAAATTCCTTCTCTTGTTTTCGCGAATTTGCTTCAGATATAGCTGATATCATCATGCTTTGTACTTTGGGCGCTTCTTGCTATTAGAATTATTTGGAAAATAATATTGCTAAGTTGTTAGCCAGGGGGTCGTTTCTCGAAACTTATCGTTATTCAGGTCCGTAGGGAGACCCCCCCCCAATCTTGACTAAAAACATTTTAACCCGCCTTTCCGCCAATCATGCGAACCCCCAAATTTTTCACTTGTCTTATGATTTTGCTCTTGCAATTGTTTGGCAAAGTTAAAACTTTAAATTCCAGCAAACTGGCAAAAATTAATAAAAAGGACCAAAAATAAGCAAATTTGGCAAAATTTAAGCAAATTTGGCAGATATCAAGCAAATTTGAAAAATTTTCACCAAATTCAGCGTTAGGTGGCTTCAAAAAAATGCTGCCGAAAATATTCGAACACCCTCCTGTCAAATCCTGGCTACGCCACTGTTACTAACGAATCGTTAATAGCGAATCATGGATTCGTTTCTCACCCATTCTCAATAAGAATGCAAAATAGGTGACCCAGGGCTCAATCTCAGCATTTACATTACCAACATCACTTTTTGTTGTATATATAAATAGTATATATGACCCTCTACCTAGCACGTTTGTAATATATGATTTCTCAGTAACACATATTTTATTATATGTACTAGAATAGGGCTATTCATCAGTTACGTGACTGTCGCCATATCAAAAATCAGGATTGTATGGTGCCATTAGAGAATTTTTCATGCATAACATCCCATATAAAGTGGTGTATTATACACAAGGCGATCCCAGCTTCTGGTTAAATGACAGAAACTATCATTTTGACATTTTAACCATGTTGAAACTGTTCCTTGACCAATGTCGCCAGACTTTTTTATATCAACCCCCCTGTGCTATAAATCATATAAAAACTGGTGAAAATTAATGTTTCATATGTGCCATATACGTATCTGGATTCCAATTTGAATACTTAATAGAAAGTCGTAAAAGTTGATATTTGAAACGTTGAGATTTTGGGGCCAGAAAATTATAATTCCCGTTTTTCATGAAGTTATAGATAAGAAAATCATTTACGTGATCATAGTTTTCACAGGCAATAAGTGTCTGAGCAAATTAATGTTATATCACCTTATTGTATGGTAGGAGTGATCCTTGTTGATCAGTATTTTTAACTAAATTGACATTGTTTGAATATAATACAGCCAGCAAAAGGGTATTTGCATCATTTACGACACCATCATTTACGATACCTAGTAGTACGAAAATAACGGTTACCATACTCCTAGCTCTGAATAAAGTTTATAAAGCGGGAAATTTGAGTATTCATATTCATTTGAATCTGAATAAAGAAACACTACCACCTTTGTAGAGTAAATCCACACAATTTAAGGTATATATCGCTCTTGTAAAACGAAGATGTAGTGTTAATTTGATGTTATCTATGGCATAAAGACAGTCAGTATAAATGTGAAGATGAATATAAAAACACTTTTCTATCATTCAATTTGAATTGAAGCTATAGTCTTGCGTTTTCTATGTCATAAATTACGTTACCATAGGTAACGTAATTGATAAATTCTATTGCACACATTTTCTGTCGTCAAATCTTTACAGGTATGTTCATTTATCAACGTGTATACTTTTCGTAGATGGGAAAGCATCCTGCTGAAATTCAAAAAGACTATAGTGATAGGAAAAAGCACCAAAAAGAGCGTGCTCGGGTTCATAAATGCATTGTCTCAATAGCTGAGTGCACTATCTGAAAAAGATAAAGACCATAAAAGAAAAAATTATGTCATTGCGCCTGAGACATGTTATGTTAGTCTCAGATAGCGTAATAATACAGGAGACAAATCAAAAAGAAGAGAGACTGTTAGCAATGACCCAAGTAATGCCGATAACAATGATTGTGACCGTGTTTATGGCAGTGGTACAAGTAACACACAATTAATAGTTCATATAAATTTTGCCTGGAATTTTGCAAAAAGGACATGAATGGCTCTTTAGAAAACGGATAAGTAGAACTTGGGGACGTACGTACCCATAAAAAAACAAAGCTCCCTGAACATAGATAAACATGGAAAAAACAATCACAAATCATTCCAAAGGATCTCACAGAAGCAGAGAAAAATAGAACCAAGGGTCCAAGCACGCCAAAAACACCAAAGAGTGCAGGGGAAAAGTGATGCGATGCAAACTTTAACATAGTGATATCCCTAGGGTTGAGGAGAAGATTAGTACGAGGAAAACACGTAGTTGAAGAGTTGAAGCAGACGCAACATGACTGGCGGGGAAATGCCTGAAAGAGTGTTCAAGTCTAGTTGATATAATATGACTAAAGGCGATGGAAGGTGATGCAAGCTTAAGGGCCTTGCTTGGCTGGACAAAAATGAAATGAGTACTCGACGTTTACCACAAGCAAAGGAATATAAATGTGTTGAAGCAAATAAACAGTGTTAAAAGCGCCCTGCACAAAAGTGAAACAAACCAGGAATGACATACAAGAAGAGACAACATAGCTATCCAAGAGTATTCTGACAGGGCCATCATGCAGACTGAGAGTGGAGATAAAGAGCTACATCTTGGCGATTTTTTCACTGCAGTTTACAATTACTGTTGGTATGTCGAAAAGGCACTGATGATAATAAATACTATTTTTTAAGAAAAGAAGAATCTCCAATGGTCTCTAGAATGTTACGTTATTTGGCTGAGAGTCTCAGATTTTGAGTGTGTAGTAGAGGAGTCAATTCCAACAGGGAAGTTTAAAGGGCTATTTAAACTCTAGATCTGTGTCCTGAGATTCAAACTCGTGTTCTATGGGATTTATATGTCCAAGCTAGGATTAAGTAACGTTTTCAGGAGTTCATATGTACCTATGATATTAGAGGAGACACTGAATGTTGTTACTTTTTGACGATAATCACAAATTATATAGTATAGTTTTGATCTTGCGATTGTAAGTTTTGTAATCACTTACGTTACAAAGGATTTAGCATTACAAATGTGAAGAAAGACTAAGTCCCTTTAATCCTGTATATCCATTCCAACATATAGCGTATGTGACAATATATTGATTCATTACGTGTTTTGTGCATAAATAATGGTTGTGTTAGCTTTAATGTTTCTATTGCAAAAGTTAGTTCATTTCCCCATCATTTACGTTACTTGATGGTCCACTGAACTATGTTTGTTTTAAATGTTACTATTGGTTAAAATGCAGTGTAAACATGATAAAAGAAGCACCAGTTGATGGTTTAACCATGATCACATATGATATGACTCATTCTACGATGTTACTATTTTTGGATCATATACGTTACCAAGGGTGTAACGATATACAAAATTCAAATAGATTTTGTATGGCATATCAAACACCAAGATATGGCTATCAATTGATTCTGAACACTATTTCTAATCAGAAAAGAAAGATAAATTTAATGTTAACAGACTGATTTTCTATAAAATTGGAATGACATGTAGCACTTAGGTTTTGTTTCTGAAAAGGAATAATAAGTCACATGTAATTGTTGACTTCAATGTGAATTCTTTCCACTTATGTCTCTTCAAAATGCCTGATGTATGATTTAGTATTAAGACAAAATATATCCTTATTGTTAGGAACAAAAACAGACATGAGAATAATGTGTTGAATGAAAATATAGGTCTCTTGCTACGACAACCCTCTATAACGTAAATGACAGAGACTTACTTTTTTAAATAAACACTAGATAAGCTTCAACATGTGACTTTTCCATGAAGGGGTATGAGATTGATGAAGATATTTTGACTTTAGATACTTAACATATATTCAAATAAAAATACATCAACTTTAAACCATTCAAAGCTACTTTAATTTTCGTCAGATTCATACCTGGAATTTGCATTCTTATTGAGAATGGATGTTCTATGGACATCGCATTGTTAATGGAATAGCTTGACCCACATTCGTACTCGTTCAATCAAACATCCATACATTCGGACGGCACATTGCCTTTAGGTGGCATATAACTCTGTTTATTTTTTCGTAAAGCCACTCAGTAAAATAATGATTTCTGTGCACCCTGATGTCCAATCAAGATCATTCGAGTATCTATGTGTTCCTGACACGTTTGGGCATCCGGGAATGACAACGTCTACCCAAAGTTTGCACGCTATATTGACGTAATCTATGAGTGAAATCGGAAAAACAAAACAGTGTGATATTTTTTCAAGATTGCTTATAACAACTATTTACAAAAATGTTCCCGAGACACAAATCTATTCAGGTAAAGGTTTGTCAGTTTT